CGTGGACTACCTCCGGCGAGCTCACCCGGCCACCTTCGACCTCGGCGTGGCCCTGCCTCCACTAGCAGCCTCCTGGTGATGTCCGTTTCCATGGGTTCGGGGAGCCCCAAGTCTTGTCTGTGGCCTCGTTGGCTGTTGATGTTACGATGTTGGCTTTCTCCATCGTCTCCCTGGGTTCGTCAAGTCGTGTACCAGGAGACCAAGCCGGAAGACTCCGTGGATGTGCATCCCACTTGTGCCATTTTGGATCGTCAATAATGTTGCAGGATTCGCCAAGTACCATTACGCCCGGAGACCACGAATCTCTGAAGTTCCACTACCGTCGCTATGGATCCGACAAGTTCGCGAGTACGACCACTTCCCACGACGACCTTGTACCACTACCGTTGACGAATACATGTGCACCGCAAGCATCAAGTTCAACTACCGTCGACCGCGAAGGGTTTGGAGTCATCAAGTACCTCTCCAAAACGAACGTGAATGACTATCGTCGCAAGAACGGGACCGGAAAGTCCGAAGACCCCAAGTACCACGACACCGATGACATGAACATCTATGGAAACCCATGCAACGATAAACATGTACCACTACCGTCGCCAAGTTCGTGAGAACCTCTACCGTCGCGAGAACGCCTACTTCCTCTACGAACTTGAATCTGTCCCGCTTACACGATTCAAAGGTATAACCTCGAGACGACATCCATGAACGAATGCTTGCGATGTTTGAGATGCTCGTGTCTGCACCGTGTCCATTGTCACTCGTTTCCTTGTCGCCAACTCGTGGGACACCCGGAATCCGGGAGCGCCCCACCATCTTCTGCACGCATCCGCACACTTCTCCTTTGTATCGGTATCTCAATCGAGTTACCGAAACCAGAACGTTGTTGTGGCACCGTTTTCGTTACCGTTGCCGTGGCACCCCTTTTCCTTTCCACCACGGTGACAAATGCTTCATAATGCTCTTGTCAAGTTTTAATAAAAATTGCATAAACTTGTTCATGTCATCCGCATCATGATAACAACAATTAAAATGTTTAAATTGTTGTTGCAATAAATTACTAAGGCATATGGGGATTTACCGGATTTGTTGTTTGTTATATCTGACCCCATTTAAAATTGTTTAGATAGATAATTCCTTTATGTTTCACCTCTTGACATGCTTAACAACATTTAATATTGTTGCGTACATAACTGAGAGAGAACTAAATAAGTCATGTGGTGTTCCGCCAATATGCAACTCGTTGCATATTGAGATCCACTTAATTTGTAGTATTGTTTGTGCACTTTGCCATGCCATGCATATTTAAACCGGACATGCATCATACTTGTTTGCGCATCATGCCATGTTATGTGGTGGTTGTTTACTATGTTGTGTGCTTCTTTCCGGTGTTGCTTCTTCGGGTTGGTTCCGTTAACGTCGCGTTTGTGAGGATCTGTTCGTCTACGTCCGTTTGTCCTCTTCGTGGACTCGTTCTTCTTCCTTGTGGGATTTCAGACAAGATGATCATACCCTCGAAATCACTTCTATCTTTGCTTGCTAGATACTCGCTCTTTTGCTATGCCTATGCTGCGATACCTACCACTTGCTTATCATGCCTCCCATATTGTTGAACCAAACCTCTAACCCACCTTGTCCTAACAAACCATTGATTGGCTATGTTACTGCTTTGCTCAGCCCCTCTTATAGCGTTGCTAGTTGCAGGTGAAGATTGAAGTTTGTTCCTTGTTGGAACATGGAGATGTTGTTCCTTGTTGGAACATGTTTATTTTGTTGGGATATCACAATATCTCTTATTTAATTAATGCATCTATATACTTGGTAAAGGGTGGAAGGCTCGGCCTTATGCCTGGTGTTTTGTTCCACTCTTGCCGCCCTAGTTTCCGTCATATCGGTGTTATGTTCCCAGATTTTGCGTTCCTTACGCGATTGGGTTATAATGGGAACCCCTTGACAGTTCGCCTTGAATAAAACTCCTCCAGCTATGCCCAACCTTGGTTTTACCATTTGTCACCTAGTCTTTTCTTTCCCTTGGGTTCTGCAGACTCAAGGGTCATCACTATTTTAACCCCCCCCCCCCGGGGCCAGTGCTCCTCTGAGTGTTGGTCCAACCTGTCAGCCGCCGGTGGCCACCAGGGGCAACTCTGGGCTGGCCTACCGGAAGTTTGGACAATCTGAGTGCCTTGAGAACGAGATATGTGCAGCTCCTATCGGGATTTGCCGGCACATTCGGGCGGTGTTGCTGGACTTATTTTACCATTGTCGAAATGTCTTGTAACCGGGATTCTGAGTCTGATCGGGTCTTCCCGCTAGAAGGAATATCCTTCGTTGACTGTGAGAGCTTGTCATGGGCTAAGTTGGGACACCCCTGCAGGGTTTTGAACTTTCGAAAGCCGTGCCCGCGGTTATGGGCAGATGGGAATTTGTTAATGTCCGGTTGTAGAAAACCTGAAGTTGACCTTAATTAAAATGCATCAACCGCATGTGTAACCGTGATGGCCTCTTTCCCGCGGAGTCCAGAAAGTGAACACGGTGTTGGAGTTATGCTTGACGTAGGTTGTTCTAGGATCACTTCTTGATCATAGTTTCTCGACCGTGCTTTGCCTTCTCTTCTTGCTCTCTTTTGCGTATATGTTAGCCACCAAATATGCTAGTCGCTTGCTGCAGCTCCACCTCATACCCTTACTTTACCCATAAGCTTAAATAGTCTTGATCGGGAGGGTGTGAGATTGCTGAGTCCCCGTGACTCATGGATACTTCCAAAACCAGTTTGCAGGTGCCGATGTTACCGAGCAGGTGACGCAACCGAGCTCAAGGAAGATCTTGTCCTTTATATTGTTTCGTTCTAGTTGATCAGTAGTGGAGCCCAGTTGGGGTCGATCGGGGATATGTGTAGCATTTGGGGTAGTCTTCTTTTATTTTGGTTCCGTAGTCGGACCTTGATTGTATCTGGATGATGTAATGCTTTACTCATGTAATTGTGTGAAGTGGCGATTGTAAGCCAACTATGTATCCTTTTCCCCTTATGTATTACATGGGTTGTGTGAAGATTACCTCACTTGCGACATTGCTTTCAATGCGGTTATGCCTCAAAGTCGTGCTTCGACACGTGGGAGATATAGCCGCATCGAGGGTGTTACAATAGTCTAAGTGGGGGAAGGGGTACAAGGGCCTCGGCCTGAGTCGTGCACACACACAAAGGACGGATGATCCGGGTGATGGCTCGGATGATCCGGGCATCGTCCAGATGATCTGGCTGGGTCTGTTCAGCCGTGGTTGGCCCGGATGTCCAGGACCTGGTCCAGACGTCCGGCTTGGTCCGGATGATCTGGGTGGGGTCCTGGATGATCCGGCTTCGTCCGGGAGCATGTTGTTGTCTTTGGTCACATTAGCCAGGTCATCCGGGAGGAGGTACGAATCGTCCAGAGGGATGTCTGGATCATCCAGGTGAGCACTGACTTGCTCCATTTGTTCTCTGTCTTCACGTTCTTCTTCCTCCATCATTTGGCCTTGCTCCTTAGCTTCTCCATGGCTAGTTCCTTGGTAACTGAGTATGCAAAGTGTCTCCCTTTGAGGTAGTAGCCATGTCTCATGTGATTTGGAAGGAAGTTGAGCGAGGAGGGAATTCACCTCGGTTTCGATAGCTCTAGCACGAGCCCTAGTCGTCGGTCTACTTGGTGCCTTGGGTGATGATGGTGTGTCCATGGGGATGACCGAAGGATGCTCCACATCAACCATGCTCGAGGGGAAGAAGGCAAAGCTTGAAGAAAAGAAGGTGAAGATCACTACCGATGCAGAGGACGCCAAGATGTTGTCCTTTAAGGTGGAGTCTTTGGATGTCAATGCAAAAATGATCTACAAGCCGTCCGGTGCAAGATGTTGCAGCAGCAACATGAGGAGTTGGAAGCACCGAACAAGGAGAAGGAAGATACGGCGAAGATGGAGGATGCATACGCACCAGCAACGACACCTTGAGCGTCGAGGAGGGTCAGATTGCCGGTCCGTCTGGGCAAAAAACATCTCCCCTTTCTTTGCGCAAACTACCGGGTAGATATTCTTTTGTCATCAGGCATGTTAAAACCTAAGCATACTTGCCTCTTTTTTTATGTGATTGGGCATGTGATCTGACACTAGTGTGATCAAGCACGCGCTATGTATCAGACTTTTATTTGAATTTCAAATTACCCTATACATTCGGACATATACATGATAGCATTGGATGACGACCTCCAACCCTATACATTCGGACATATACATGATAGCATTGGATGACGACCTCCAACATCAGTGTCCACAGACCCTATCCACAAGCGGACGCCAAAACAAATTTGCATGTTAACGTTAGAATGCCCTTAGAAGCACGTGGGCACTTCCCCGAAGATTGCATGTATGAGAAGAGGGAAGACCATTCAAGATTCCCGAAGAAGTTGCCCAATACCATAAATGTAAGTTCAAGAAAAGGCTCTTACCTCAAATCTCCGAACCCCAATAGTGTTTTATGTGTTAACGATGTAGCCCAATTAAAGCTTGTCAACAAGGATGACAAGGTGGTCAAGTACCAGTACATGGCAAGCATGCATCCTACGAGTACCAAATGTTGTGACAAGTAGGATGATAAGCATCAAGTTTTAGTTAATTTTTTAATCTAAAGTTAAGATCGCTTAAGTTATGTTAACTGACCTTGTTGAGCACAACGAGGACGGTAATACCATGACAAAAAGCAAAAGAAAGAAGATCAAAATCCAGTTCTCTAAGAACTAGAACAAACGAATTATATGCGCTGATGCTGCCAATGATTATTACAGACGATTCTTCAGCTTGACTGCAATGCTGGTAAAACTTTTCCAAGGACAAGAATGCGAGGATTATTCAGGAGCCTTAAACGGTGTCTTAACACCCAAGGAAATCGAGGTGCCTGCCACTTCACCTACTCAGGCTAAAGCTCCTGGTATGCAACAAAATTAGGTGGGAGACAAATAATCGACAGAAAGAGCAGCTGGTGCTCAGATATGATCGCAAACTGCTTTTGTGTAGTCTGATGTTGATGACTTCCCACCAAGATCAGCGGTTCTGTACTTCCCCTCGGCAATTGTCTGGAGGATGGCATTGTGGATCCGGTCTGCTTGGTCATTGAATTGCAAGTGGCGCAACATCATAACAGCACTCAACATAAGAGCAGTTGGGTTTGCAAGGTTCTGCAGGCAATCGAATATCATTCAGTCAACAAAGAGACATCATAAAGACTGTCTAGACATCACGAGAGAACTTTGGTTTCATATACACATAACGAAAAGCCAGAAAGCCATCAATTAAAACATCATGAACATGTACATACTGAGAAATCTCATATGGTAGATATTTAAGATCACTTTACCTTGCCAGAGATATCAGGTGCAGAACCATGAACAGCCTCTGCCAGACAAATGCCACCTTCACCAATGTTGCAGCTGGGGAATAAACAATAGTTAGTTGATATCGTCTAAAAAACACAGTAAATCGACTCATGAAGATAAAAATCTCTACCTGGGAGTTAAGCCCAAGCCTCCGATCAAACCAGCACATAGATCACTAATAATGTCACCATACAGATTTGGCATCACTAATACATCAAATGTACCAGGATTCTTCACGAGCTGCAAGAGGATGCAGTTCATACTCAGTGATGTCATAGAAGTAAATGGCCTACTTTCAGTACTCCCTCCTTCCATCTATATAGGGCCTAAGCCGTTTTTCGAGGCTAACTTTGACCAAATATTAGAGCAAGAATATATGACATGCAACTTACACAAAGCACACCGTTAAATTCGTGTGTGGAAGAAGCTTTCAATGATATAATTTTCACATTGTGCATGTTATGTACTATTAATCTTGTCAATAGTCAAAGGCGTTCTTAAAAAACGCATTAGGCCCTATATAGATGGAAGGAGGGTGTACATGATTATCAAGTGTGCAAACGGTAAAATTAACAAGTGTGAAGTTTCAGTGTTGACAGATCAACATACTGTCATGCAGCAATTGTCAATGATGACTTCCTCATATGTGATTTCAGGGTACTTCTCAGCTACTTCACGGCAACACTAAAATTGTACATATAAAATAACCATGAGTTAGCTCTCAAGACAAATGAAAATGGGGAACAGATAGCATCAACAAGAAGGAACAGGGGTGTAGCCATCAAACCTTGAGGAAAAGTCCGTCTGTTTTCCTCATGATATTAGCTTTATGTATCGCAGAGACCCTCTCCCTGCCATTGGCTTTGGCATAATGGAAAGCATACTCTGCCACTCTCAAACTTGCTTGGCGGGTAATAATTTTCAAACTTTCCACAACACCCCTCACAACCTGAAGAAAAAGAACTGTGCCATGACTAACAAGAACAAGAACAACAACCACCAAGCCTTTAGTCTCCCAAACAAGTTGGGGTAGGCTAGAGCTGAAACCCATAAGATCTCAAAACCAGCTCAGCTCATGACTAACAAGAACAATGGAAAGAAAACTATCTTTAGGAAAGAATACACAATACCTGATGCTCAAGGCCACTATACTCTCCTTCAGTATTTTCACGGATTGTCACAAGGTTCACATCATCATATCTAGTCTTGTAGCCTGGGAGGCTGTTGCAAGGCCTGACATTGGCGTAGAGTCCGAGTTCTTTCCTTAATGTAAGATTCAAAGAACGGTGGCCTTTTCCAATAGGTGTAGCCATAGGACCTTTCAAGCCAACTTTGTTTCTACGCACCGACTCCAGGCTCTCCCATGTCAAAAAGCTCTCTGTTCTGGGATCAACTTCCGTACCAACATAATGTTCTTCCCATTCTATAGGTACACCTGCAACATTGAATACCTGAAACAGTAAAAGAAAAGATTAGAAGTACGGAAGTAGAACAAGCTACCTTCAAAGAAATCATGCTTGAATGAGTTTTGTGCGTGAATTTAATCACTCATCTTAGTAGCAGTATTCTTGCGAAACTCAGTTGCAAAAGTACAGTTTACAGGTAAAGCAATTAGCTTCAGATAGCTGGAACCATGTATCGAAGTTCAAGATGAGAGAGACGATCATGTCACTGCAATTTAAAAACAGATGGGCAGCCTGGCGCAAAAGACAGGCGGGGCAGCTCAGGCTTTGACTTCACCAGTCCAACAAGCCTGGCCTGACCCGACAACTCTGATAGCAACTAATCCAGCAGGCAGCCACCATCTAAAATCAACCAGCAAATAAGGCCTTGATAGGAAATAAGGTTCTAGCGGATCTTTGTAAAAAATCTAAAACTATATAAATGCAGTACAGATACGGTTCCTTCAAAAAGTTTCTAGTTGATCCAATCCCCAAGATATCAGTCACTTGTTCCTTTTCTGCATGACATCTTTGTCAATTGCATATTACAGAAAAAATAATTGTTATGTTCTTGTCCACGATGATTTTTAAGCATCTAAGGACATACCACCTCTCACCTATTGGCTTTGAACCTTTGATCATCCTGGGTTCAGTATACAGATACAACAGAATGAATGTCATTGTAGACATGGAGTAGATATCCACACTTTATGAATGAACAATGTATACGAGTTATTTCAGATCAAAATTGGCAAAGATGCATATTCTGAACTTTCTAGAATGACAGGAGCATCCAAGGTAATTATTCAGAAATATTACTGAAATCCCAATAGCCATTCTGTTGCAAAAAAAGAAGCCAAAAATCAAAACAATAGCATAACCAAGTTACACAAATGACACAAAGTTCCAAAGTGAAACAGGGTTTTCACAGAAATACAAGCAAATTCAACTGTGCCCCAAATTCTGAACAGCCAGAAGTCCGGCTTTCTGCAAAAGAATAAGGGCCTCTTTGATTCTCAGGATTCTCAAAACGCAGGAATAGGAAAAATGTAGGAATACAGTGTCATGTCCTCTTGTATCCTATGGGATTTGGAGAAGTGTTTGATAGCACAAGAAAAGCAAAGGAATTCTACAAAGAAGTTGAAGTGGATGAAAAGTTTCCTCCAAAATGTAGTATAAATGAATCCTATGGAAAAATCCTAAGGATTTCAATCCTACAAATCAAACGACCATCACAGGAAAAAAATCCTAAGGATCCAAATCCTGTAAAAATCCTATGCATTTCCTTTGTATCAAAGGAGCCCTAAATCATCTTTACTATTGAAGGGTAGTCTGCCATCGTCGTCGTCATGGTTAGACCTCCCATCCCCTCGTATGTGCTCCCCTCCCACCAATTTCTCCATACCACCGCCTCCCCCAGTCCTTGAGAGCGGTTTGTGCTCTCTTGCTCCTTTCCTCTCCGTACGTTTCCTCTGTCCCATGATTCACAACGTGAAAATACCGAGCAATTTGATAAAATGACACACTTTTCCTTGTACTTTGATCCAATGGCACGCCTTTCTTTTTATTAGATTAAATAGCACACTTTTCATTCATAGCTGGATAAAATGGCACAAACTGAGTTTTTCCTCCTTTTCCAAGTCTGAGCCCACACGTCATAATAGTTTGGACGAATTTGCCCTTCTGTCTGGTCAACCGGTTCGATTGAAACAGAGGAAAGGAGACTATGCCAAAAAAGATCAGAGGAGACGAATGACCCAGAGGAACGATCAAAACAGAGACGAACGATCCCGAGGAGACTCACAGGTTTCCTCCCATCCCGTCTCTCCCTTCATCTCTCTCTCTCTCTCTCTATTATATATCTTTCTCTCTCCTTCTAATTCGATTCAATAAGCATGTAAATTAAAGCTAAATTTCTTCAGGACCGGGCATCAATACAAGCTGAATTTCTTCACAGGAAAAAGCATCTGTAGCTTTTGGACAGCTGAACGGGCAATCAAAATTAAAAGCTAAATTCAGGCCAGCGGCATGAGTTTCATCAGGTAGACTGCTAAAGCTAGCACTACAGCGGCGAGCAGCTACAGCCAACTACAACAGCAAGCAGCTACGAACACGTGCTACAGTCAGGACTCGAACATGTCCAGCAAGGGACCTGGACTACGACGCGCTGCAGGGAACTTGAAGTGGCGGCACCCTTCTTCTCCTGCATGGGTGAGGGAGCGGCCGGAGCGTGGTGGACGGCGGCGCCCTTCTTCTCCGACACGCCAAGGGAGCGGTCGGAGTGCGGCGGACAGCAGAGCGTCCTCCACAGGAACGGGCGCGGCGCGGTGAGGTGGTGGTGCCGGGGAGTAGCGGCGAGGATTCATAGTTGTGGGGAAGAAGCACACCGAACCAGTAGCGGCGAGGATTCATAGCTGTGCTTGGCTCCGAACCAGTTGACCAAGAAGAAAGGGCAAAATAGTCCAAAATAGTATGACTTGTGTGCCCAGACTTGAAAAAGGAAAAAAGACTCAGTTTGTGTCATTTTATCCAGCTATGAATCAAAAGTTTGCTGTTTAATCCAATAAAAAGAAAGATGTGTCATTGGATCAAAGTACGAGGAAAAGTGTGCCATTTTATCAAGTCTCACTTCAAGTCACCCCTCTGCCACCCCATCCAATCTCACTTCTACCTTAACCCGTCATGGACTCCTTGCACCGTGACTTTGACGCTGCCCCCCCCCCCCTTCCCCCTACCATCCATGATGTGCACCCCCTAGCCTCACCCTGCACCTGCAGTCCCTCCCCGCCCAATCCAATCGTTGTTGCACCGCCAAAAAAAAATAGTACAGATGAAACAGCAAAAAAATAATGCTGTTGGGGAGCCTCAAACCACACACCTGCGTCTACACCCAGCTTAATCAAACCAGCAAGCAACCAGCTCACTCATGTTCTGAATTGGAAAGTATTTACAAGTACAAGCCAGTGTTTCCATGGTCCGTGCGCACTTACAGGTGCAGTGTTGCGTGCTTGCTTGAGTTTTTCTTTGAACTGTTGCAAGTCCATTGATTGTTGTATACAAATCCAACACAACTCCAATTATTTTTAGTCCCGTGCGCGGGCTAGTTACTACTCCCTCTGTTTCTAAATGTATGACGTTTTGGCAGTTAAAATTGAACTGCCAAAACGTCTTATATTTAGGAACAGAGAGTGTATTAATTATGCTGGGTGTGAGGATAAAACTCACACCTGTTAATATCGTATCAAACATAAGGAAAATCTTCTACCTTTCTTGCTAAACTTATAATTGCATGGGGCCAGGGAAATTGCAAGAGATGTCACTAGCCATCCAGGGAGGCCAACCACTAAAAAGTTCTATAGAGCTCAGCATTAACGATATGCCCTTGTTGGCGTAGCTTCAAACCTTGATCAAATAAAGTACAAAGACATTTCTACATCATAAGGAAACAGAAAAGCAGACCAAGTTGTGGTAAGAACTCATACATGAGTCTATCACACAAATACGACACCCAAGAGAAACAAAATCCTCTACCTGCTTGACCGACTCGGCGATCTCAGGCCCGATGCCATCACCGGGAAACAGGGTTGCGCGGATAGTCTCCCCAGCCTCCGTGGAAAACGATGCCCCAACATGCCGGCCCGTCGTCCGCGGTAGGACAATCCCCTGAAGCAGCCTTCGGAGTGCCATGTCTCCTCTCCACCACTCTGAAAGGCAAAAACAACAATCAAACCTATACTCCAGATGACTCCAGATATCTACGCAGGCGAGTCGATTCGACCAAGCAGGCATGCATTAATTTCCAAAGACTAGGCAGAATAAGCGCGCATGCATCGCGAATCGATGGATCGACCAACAGAGCACGGAACGCCACGCCCGATGGTCTCCGATCGAATCGGGGATAATTCAGGAACCGCGAAATCGAGAGGAGCGAGATCGGATCGGGTAGAGGGAAAGCGACGGTGAGGAATGTACCGGAAGAAGGAGATTCGCGGGTAGTGTCAACGGCGGCGGCGGCGGGCGGCGGATGGGCTCCGCGGTGAGAGGGGGGAGGGGGCGGGGAGCGGTGGACGAAAGATGGGGATGGGAAAGGGAGAAAAAAGGGTGGCAATTTGCACAGACTCTTGGCCTCCACCCAGGGCCAGGTCTGCGGTTCCTCCTCTTCCTATTTGGCCATCCATCTGGATCTGACGGTCTGCGTTTCCTCGGCCAATATTTGCTTCTTTTTTTTTCCTCTAATATTTGTGTTGTTGGGTACCCAAGGGCACACGCTGACAGCTGCACGTGAGACTGAAAGTGGGAGTCCGACCACAGCCCACTTAGGCCTTGTATAATGGGAGGTGCTTAGGGAAGGTGCTTATAAAAATAAACCAGATTTTCCTTAAGCACTGGTGCTTATTTGTACAGGGTAGACGCTTAACTAAGCGTCACTCCTGTAGAAATAGGCACCGGTGCTTCAGAAAATCTCGATTTATTTTCCTAAGCACCCCTCTAAGCATCTCTCATTGTACAAGGTCTTAGTCCCGCCAAGGTTTGGCGGGTGTTAACTAACAACCCACTGAAAAATAGGTTTTGCTCAAAAAAAACTAAAAAATAGGTGGCTTAGCTCGGCATAAGTGAGATTCCACGGAACAAATGTATAACTGATTCCTTTCCACAAACTTAGATAGCGGTTGTTGAGGAGGTAGCTCTCCTGGTCCAAGATCCTAGGCAAGCGGACGGGATTGAGCTCTAGCTTAGCAAGTCGTTGCGACAGCACTCGAGGTGGTCCAGGAGGAGGCGCACCGCCGTCATGGCGTACGCCAAGTGTTCATCAACGTCGGCTGTTGGGGTAGGCCGCCGGGTGACCACCACGTCCAATAACTGGTCGGGTAAGAGAGCAGCGGAGTCCGAGGGTGTTGTTGCGGATGACAAGGCGAGGAAGCGTTGGAGGTCCGTGCGCACGTCATTGAGTTTCCGGACGGCAATGTCCGGCCCCATCCCCGGGAGCAGCGTCAGCATCTCCAGCAGGCGGCTGCGCGCTTCGCGAGAGGCGTCGGTGTCACTCTCCATCGAGAGGAGCCTGGCCATAAGCACGTAGATGCTGGTCTCCAGCACGAGGGAGAAGATAGGCGGTCGGAGGAGCAGTGTTCGCCGACTGCTAGGTCGGAAGGGCGGCGACTCAACTCGAACCGTACACGAGAGCTCAGCGCGAAGGGGAAGCCGGAGAAGACTGGGTTAGTGGTGTGGTGGGTTCCCAGCGGGCTAAATGGGACAGCCCACTTATTTTTTTTCTATTGTCCAACGGGTGCCCACTGAGATGATTAAGTGGGATGGGCTTAATTAGTCCCACTTATGCCCACTTCCACCTGCAACCTGAGTGACACGGTAGACACGAGGAAAAAAGTATTCATCGTGTTGTAAACATTCGTGGAACTAAAAAACTAAAAAATATTTTTTTGGTAAACTTTGATAAATGTTTTGCATGCTTGCAAAAATTCAGCACGAAATGACATTCGTGAAAGTCATGGCAAAAAACCAAAATCGATGCTCTAAAGATGCTAGTTTTAAAACATTTTGGAGTTCTGTTTTTTTTTACCACGACTTCCACGAATGTCATTTCATGCTGAAATTTGGTATGCCTACAAAAAAATTGTTAAAGTATATACCACAAAAAAATTCAAAACTTTTTTAATTTTTTTTTACTATTTTTCGGTTTTACTGTTCATCTGGGTGCATTTGAGCTCGAGATCAGAATAAGGTTTTTGGTTAACTATGGTGATTACTCACGCCCACTACGAGAAGTAACCGGCCTCTTAACTCTACGTGTTAGCCTTAAATAATGATCGAGTCGCTTCAGTTTTTTTTTCTGTGATGCGAAGCATCCCACGATCATCCCCATGGACGCACCTACACCTCCAACAACACCACTTGAACCAATGATAAGAACCCGAGCGAAGGCTATCGAAGATAAGGTGAACTCACTCCTCTCCCAGCTACCACTTTCTATGCATGAGACTTGACTACTACCTCAAGCGGAAACCCTATGTGTGATCATGTGCTTGAAGGAAAGCCACGGATCAACTACACTCAACGGACAAGACGGTGAGGACGCCAAGCTCAATGGACAAGAAGAAGGACTGCTCGAAACTCCTAGGCTCCGGACGATCGGCGAGCTACAGACGCCCAACGACCTCCAGGCACCGGACGACCGGCACACCCACACCCGAGCCGAATCTACGGATTTCCGAAGCCCTCCGGACGAGCGACGCCCCGGACGTCCGACCGAAGCCCACCCGAGCCGAATCTACGGACGTCTGACGAGCACCGGGCGTCCGGACCCTCACGAGCCTCCGGACAACCGGTAACTCCCGGACGTCCGATGCCTGTGTGTTGTTTGCGTGTTGGGCCGCAGCCCATGTACCCCTTCGACCTTTAAGACTATATATAGACCTTCTCCTCCTCTTTTTGAGGGTTAGCAAAGGATTAGCTCATATTTCGTGTGAGAGCTTTGCTCATCCACTTGGTTAACTTCTCCTTGGAGATAGCGCCTCCTCGGAGAAGATCCCCCAAGCGGATTCAAGACCCCTTTACGGGAAGAACCTCAAGACCTCATCACGGAGAAGATAGTGCTACTTGTATCGTCCTTAGTTGACCGTGGATCGTGTGATCTCTTATGTACTCGAGGATCTAGCATATGTGTGACTATTTCTTGTTGGTTTAGTGATTCTCTCGTGTTTCCCCTTGTGTTTCCCCTCGTGTTCTTCGTGTTCATCGCGGGATCCGCTCCCTTTCGTGAAAGATTGGCCCCTATGGTTCCTACCCTACATCATCTTGGTATCTAGAGCCACGTTGATCACGATTCGGAGCCTCCCCGTTGTGTTTCTAGCCTTGTTTTTGTTGATTTTGTTCCTAATTCGAAAATCCCCACAAAATAGCCCCAAATTTTTTTTGTGATTTGTTGGTGTGATGAAATTTTGTTGGATTTGATCCGTGGATTTGCTTTGCCTTGAGTGGATCTAGTTTTTCCCCTTCGTCTCCACCTTTTCTATCCATGAAATCACCCGGATTCGACGAATTTCGTCCTCCCCATCACGAACCCTAGTTGTTCTTCCCATGCCCGATTTTCGCCCAGGCATCGGACGTCCGACCGCCTCCGGACGTCCGACGACCGGACAACCGTAAACCCCCGGACATCCCGCGTTCCCTAACGAAACTAAATTTTTTTCAGTTTGGTCTCCACCACCGCCACACCTCCGCATACGCACTCCCACCACCTCTACACCATCACCACTTCCACATAGCACCACCATTGCTTATCCGTTTCGCCCTTCGTATTGTCTTCCAACATCGTGCTTTAAGAATTTGAGTTGCGGCTCTGTGTCCTATTGTGTTTCGGCTATTTAGGTACGGCTCGACATCAACATCACCGCCGATCATCTTCGCCACGGACGCGTCATCGACAACAACTGCTACACCATTTTGACACCATACCGTAAGCGAGAACCATAACATCATCTTGGATGATGCGGAGCATCTTATGGACATCACCATGTCAAGAGTCCGTTTGGCGAGTGACACGTGCGACATCTACTTCACATACCCAAAGGTGAATCATCTCCTTTACACGTGCTCACTTGACCCCTTCGAGGATGGTATACTACTTGACACCCCTCTCATGTGCATGCATAGGTATTGTCGGAACACTACGGACGACGAGGAGGAGTGCAAGCGCCAAGGGACAACTACACCATCCGCGAGGTAAGTATGCAAGCGACGACGGAAGAAGACGGAGACATCTCCCAGGACCCAGACATCCGGCCCTGGCCCGGACATCCGGCCCCTAAAGATGTCAACAGCAGCAGCAGCCCTGCAGCCGAAGTGCTACAGGCCCCGAACATCCGGCGTCAGCCCCGGACATCCGACGCCTCGCCAACACCCAGACATCCGGCCTCGCCCCGGAAATCCGGACAAGCCATTCCAGAGAGCATCGTGACCAGCTCCGTCAGCCCGGACATCCGGCCTGCCAGCCCGGACATCCGGCTCCCCGTGAAGCCCCGGACATCCGACCCGACGCCCGGACATCCGGCCCTCCCTGCCTGCGTGCAGTGCTTCTAGGCCGAGGCCCATGTACCCCTTCGCCCCTTAGACTATATATACTTACCCTCCACCTACGTTTTAGGGTCAACATTGGTTTAGCTCATTTTAGAGATAGAGCATTGCTCATCCACATTGGATCTACTCCGCGAGAGAGACCACGGCCTCTACGGAGAAGATCCCTTTGGATTCAAGACCTCCTTTTGGAGAAGAACTTCAAGACCTCCTCACGGAGAAGACCGGTTACCGTGTATCGTCCCTAGTTGATTGTGGATCGTGTATCTTACTTTATGTACTCAAGGATCTAGCACATGTGTGATCATTCTTGTTGGTTTTAGTGTTTCCCTCGTGATTCCCCTCATGATTCCCCTCGTGTTCCTCGTGTTCTTCGCGGGATCCGCTCCTTTCGTGAAAGATCGGGCGATTAGGGTTCCACCCTACATCATCTTGGTACCAGAGCCACGTTGATCACGATTTCGGAGCCTCCCCCATTGTTTTCTAGCCTTCTTTTGTTTGATTTCGTCCTAAATTCGAAAATCCCCACCAAAAATAGCCCCAATTTTTTTTGTGATTTGTTAGTTTGATGAAGTTTTGTTGATTTTGATCCATGGATTTGTTTGGTTTCGACTGGATCTAGCATATCCCCAATTTTTCCCCACTTTCCATCAACGAAATCCCATCAATTTTGCCCCCAAATTCATATATTTCCGCCCCCA